TTAATAAAGTCCACTAAAATTTCACCAATTATGCCATTATTATCATTTATAGGTCTTGGATCCCATTAAAGATCACCCGTTGCATTTAGTTGTCTTGTCTCTATAGTGACTTTTAGCCTGGAACAATCTTTACTTTCATAGCCTTGGCATTTTTGAAGAGTACATGCCAGTTACTTGAATTTCTCTCAATTTGCATTTGTCTGATGCTTCCTCACATGACTTACATATTTATGTAGAAGTACTGCTGTGTTCTTCTCACTGTATTATGTCAGGAGGCAACATGAGGTTGGTTTTTTCCATTACCAGTTTTTATGTGAACTGTTGCTGGTTGATTAAGATGGTATCTCCCAAGTATTATAGCTGTCATGTTAATTGGTAAATATGCTGTGCTTATTAATTAATAATTAATGATATATTCATGAGAATTAGTGAGCATTTTTAGGAACATATATTGAGACTCTGTAAATATCTTGTTCCTCATCAAACTTTTACTCACAAATTTTAGCATCCATTGATGATTCTGGCTTGAATCAATTACAATGATGGTTGTAAAATGGTGATTTTCTAATTCTTTCTTTCTTCATCTATTAGTTGTATTCTACTAGTAGAGCTTTCCTTTCTCCTTTTTTTTCTTTCTACCAGCATGGACTCATTGATTTCTATTTTACTCAAAGGTTACAACTTATTGACCTATTGCTGTCATTATTTATTTTGATGCTTAAATTGTCCTAGATTTGGCCAGTGGAGACCCCTTCAGGCTCCTATATTCTTTTGACATATCTCCATAATTCTTTAAGTACCTTCTTATTTTCTTGCACAACAAATTATTCCAGTTTCACCCACTCCATCATGGAGCCATAGGTCCTTTTAGTAGAGAATGGTATTTAAAAATCAAAGTCAGAGTGTTAGGTGTGTTCATAGCTACTGGGGTACTGTTGGATTTAGACCCTCTCGGTGGACAGAACTAGGAAACATATCAACATATATACACATGTATATCTATACTTATATTTTTCTATATTTTTATCTATGTAAATTAAAAATCATTTCATACCATCTCCTCTAATTTCAAGCCACATCACTGGGTTTACTCTAATCTTCCTTCTTTTTATACCTGTAATTCCCTTCTCCAACAGTGAGAAAACTGCCTACCTATATCCTTAATATATTTATTTGTTTGCTCAATTCCTGGTATGTAAGCCATCTGCTAGACATGGTGGCAAAAAGTATGGCCTGTCTCTATGAAGTTAGCTATTTTTATCATTTTATATATATATAAATTATATTTATAATATAAATGTGTTTTTATTAAAATTATATATAATTATATACATTATAAAATATATAGTATATATGTCTGCATGTTATATATAAATATATGTATATATGTAATTAAATATTTCATACGAAATTGAATATAATGAAATAAAATATTTTCCATATGTATATAAGAAATTATATATCCCATATTAGAAAGCCCATATAATACATAAAATATATCAATATAAGTAAATATATATAAGATATCTGATTTTGTGTATATGTTTTCCCCCTAGATTTACTGAGATATTACTGATATATAACATGAAGTTCAAGGTGTAGTATGTGATTTTTTGATACATGTATATATTGCAAAGTGATTACCACAATAAGGTTAGTTAACACTTCCATCCCCTCACATAATTACCACTTTCTGTGTGCATAACAATTAAAACTTATTCTGTTAACAACTTTCAAGTATAATACAGTATTGTTAATTATGGTCACCATGCTGTACATTAGATCCCTAGATCTAATAACTAGGTTTATACTCTTTGATCAACTAATTAGATCTAATAACTAGGTTTATGCCCTTTGATCAACATCTTCTCATTTCTCCCATCCCCTGGTAACTACCATTCTACTCTGTATTTTTGTGAGTTCAACTTTTTTAGATTCCACACTGAGTTCATACAGTATGTGTCTTTCCCTGATTTATCTCACTTAGCATAGTGCCCTCAAGGTCCATCCATATTGTTGCAAGTAGTAGGATTTCCTTCTTTTTTGTATGGCTAATAATGGCTATTTCTGTGAAAAATGCCATTGGAATTTTGATAATAATAAATGTACCTGTGTGTGTGTACGCATGCACGTGTGGTCCATTCACGTGTCCATGGACACTCAGGTTGTTTCCATGTCTTGGTTATTGTGGATAATGCTGCAATGAACATGGGGATGCATATATCTTTGAGTTAGTATTTTCACTTTTTTTGGATATATATCCAGAAGTGGAATTGCTGGATCATGTGGTAGTTCTATTTTTAATTTTTTGAGGAAACTCAATACTGTTTTCCATAGTGGCTATACCAATTTACATTCCCATCAACAGTGCTCAAGGGTTCCCTTTTCTCTACTTCCTTGCAAATACTTGTCATTTGTCTTTTTGAAAATACCATTCTAACAGGTGTGAAGTGATATCTCATTGTGGTTTTAATTTGCATTTCCTTAAAATTAGTGATTAGTGATGTTGAACATATTTTCATGTACCTGTTGGCCATCTGTATGTCTTCTTTGGAAAAATGTCTATTCGAGTCCTTTGCCCATTTTTAAACTGTTTTCTATTGAGTTATATGAGTTCTTATACATTTTGGATATTAACTCGTCATCAGCTAGGTGGTTTGAAAATATTTTCTCCCCATTCCATAAATTGCCTTTTCATTTTGCTGTTTCCTTTGCCATGCAGAAGCTATTTAGTTTGATGTAGTCCCACTTGTTTATTTTTACTTTTGTTACTTGTGTTTTTGGAGTCATATCCAAAAAGTTATTGCCAAGACCAATGGGAAAGAGATCTTCCTCTGTTTTTTGCTAGTAGTTTTACCATTTTGGGTCTTACATTTAAGTCTTTAATCCATTTGGAGTTAATTTTTGTGAGTTGTATAAGATAGGGGTCCATTTTCATTCTTTTGCACGTGACTATCCAGCTTTCCTAATATATATTATTGAAGAGATTATCCTTTCCCCACCGAATATTCTTGGCTCCCTTGTCAAATATTCATTGACTGTATATGAGTGGGCTTATTTCTGGGCTCTGCATTGGCCTACTTGTCTGTTTTTTATGCTAATACCATGCTGTTTTGATTACTATAGCTTTGTGAAATCAGGTTGTGTGATGCCTTTAGCTTTACTCTTCTTGCTCTTTACTGTTTTGACTATTTGGGGTCTTTTATGATACCATATACATTTTAGGATTCTTTTCTTCTGTGAAAAATGCCATTGGAATTTTGACAGAAATTATGTTGAATCTGTAAATGGCTTTGGATAGTATAAATATTTTTACAATATTAATTCTTTCAATCCGTGAACCTGGGATATCTTTCCATTTATCTGTGTCTTCTTCAACTTCTTTCATCAATGCGTTGCAACTGTCAGTGTGTGAATCTTTCACCTCCTTGGTTTATCCTAAAGCATTTTATTATTTTTGATGCTACTGTATCAAGGGAAATACACAGTTAGGCCTTTCTTCAGATGCACCTGGAGCTCACTGCTCATACTTCCACATGGTTGTTCCCTCATGCCTGACCCTCAAGAAGCTGCTGGTCTAAAAAATGCAGAGCTCCCCAAGGAGGAAGAGCCCCAATCACCACCCATCTCTCAGTAAGCAGCCTATTCTCCAAGTGTTACAAACAGCTGCAGCCAGCTCCACAAAGATGCTTAAGCCAAATGCTAAACCTGGGGAAGGAAAAATTTTATATTTCAATTTTAATAAATGAAATAACTGGGACATCAATTGAAATTATATTTTATTAACTAGGTTAAGTGTGGTTTCCTTAGGTTGCAGGTTTTCTTCCAGGTTTTGGTGGCACCACATTTGTGACTTAGCCCAAGGTAATATATATATCTGCTCTGCTTGTGTTACTGTCCCCATTAGGCAGAAGGGTCTGAGGGCAGGGACTTATTTCATCGATTTCTAGTGCTTAGCGGAGGGTCTAACACACGGCAGGTGCTAATTGTTTATTGGATTAAAGAATAATATATCCATTAATCAGTATAGATGGTGGGAAAGGAGCTGTATGTTGGGAAGGAGACTTTAAATTTCAACCTCTGGACCCACGTGGATAAAGATAGCCCAGGTCATCCATCCTTAGAAACCTTTCATTTCAAGTTTTTGTTTTCCTGGTAACACAATACAATTCAAGAATAAATCTTGAATTTTTTCTTGATATTGGTTACATTGATATTGCACACCAATCCCATGGTTACCATCCGGCACCAACAATCTTGTTCTGTTTTCACCTGCACCTTCCTGAGTTTTTAACTAAACATCCAATTTCAAAGATCCCACGTTAAAGGATGTCTTCAGTTCAAATTACCCTTTCTCATTTTCTGTCGTCAACTTTTTTCTTTTTTCCCCGAGAATATTTGCCGAGTTAATTTTTCTTAAAAATTCTTTTGTGGTGTTCCAGATGCGAATGATCATAAAACATTCCAAATACAGCATGTTGTGTAAATGTTGAATCGATCGATAAAAATGACGAGTTTAGTAACAATATCCCTGACGATCGCGGAGGCCTGTTTTAATTTAGAGGGCGCCACCACACGTCAGCGATTCAAAGCTACCGGGCAAACCACTCCGGACCTGGAATTCCTTAGACAACCCTGACGCCACTGAAGTTTCCAGACGCGGCCAGCTCTCGGGACTGACAAAAGGAGACTCGGCATCGCTGAGCCAGTCTGCGCGTTTTCTCCGCGGCAGCTAAAGTGCCAGGAATTTCTAGGCTTTCCCTTCCCGGAGCAAATCACAATCACAGTCGGCACCATTCGCGGCGCTGGGAGCAGGTGAGCGGGGCGGCGGCGCCCGCGAGACGCGCTCAGGTGCCTCGGCCCCTCCCGGCCTCCGCCCCGGCCCCGCCCCGGCCCCGCCCCGCGCCGTGCGGCTCGGGGCCCAGGTGCCGGCGCCCAGGTGCGCGCGGCGCGGGGTTGCAGCTCTGCTCGACGCCCGACAGTGGGCGCCGCTGCGGCGGTTCGCGAGCGGCGGAGCTGAGCGGCTTCGCGAGTTGGGGCAGCCCCTGAGCCCGGCCCTGCTCGCGGCGAGAGCTCCGCCCGGCTCCGGCTCCGGCTTCCCCCAGCTGCGGGAACCGGCGGGCGCCGAAGGGGGCGGACCGACCTCCGCGGAGCCCGGAGGCCTGGGGCGGGCGAGGCGGGCGAGGGGCGAGCGCCGGAGACCCCGAGCGCCCCGCGCCCAGGCACCATGCGACCCGCCGCGCCTCCTCGCCGGCCCCGGGCTTCGCTCTCCGTTCGCTGAGCCCCGCGCTCGCCACCGCAGCAAGTCGCAAAGACGAGGCGGGTCGCTGGAGAGCCGCGGGGAGACCGCCTTGGACGTGCCCTCCGCCCCACAGAGGCTGCGGGTCCCTCGTTCCCTGGGCTTCTCTAGCTTTACCATGAACCTGGCGCAAGCTTGGCTTTAGGAGAAATTCAGAAGCCGGAGGGGGAGTCAGTGCAATTCTTTGGTTGCTAAGGTAATTGTAGTTGTGACAAAAACGGGCAAGAAACAAATGGGGGAAAAGCTGTTTTTAAAACGGTAGCCCCCCTCCCCAATTCATATGTGTCGATTTCATTTCATCTCCTGGGTGTGGATGCTGTCCATTTCAGATGCGTGACAGGTGTCGGGGTGTATGTGTGTGTGTGCAGTTTGGGACTGTAGAGGCACGAGCTTACATAAGTGGTTAGGCAAGCTGGCGTGCGGACTTGTGTGGGATGGGTGCAGGTCTGCATATAAATCATGTTTCTGGGTTTCTGGGTGTGAAGCGCTCACTCACTGGGTCCAGCGAGCAGAGGGTACGTGCTCTTAGGTACTTCCAGTCTTCCGATTTTGTGATCGCAAGTGGGGCACCTTTACCCCAGAAGCAGACGTTCATTAACTTTTTCTCTGAAGAAGCTCGCCCTTTTGCAGTTTGGAGGCAAGGAAAGCGAGTGGTGAGGTGTGGAGGGCAGGGTGGGTGGGAGATCTCTGGGAACTGCTGCAGGAAAGCGAGCAGTTAAGATATTCACTCTCAGAGGGCGACAACTAAACTGGCTGCGAGAAGAGACCGTGTTTACTGTCACCGTCAGACTGTAAACGTGGCCGGGTGAGACAGAAAAAAGTGACCCAGAAAATTTAGTTTTGTTCAGAACGAAAGGGGCTGTTTTATTTTATTTTTTCTTAAATTTGATGGAGTAGGAACGTTATTTGTTGATGAGAGGAGTGGTATTTCTGTGTTACAAATTGAAGATATTTTGGGGCTCGTTGGCTTGGGATTGTTCCCTCAGCATTTATCAATGGTTAGAAGCTGGATCTGCAGGTAGTTTCTAATCAATACCTTTCAGCAGCCCCAAAGTAAAACTGCAAAAATAGGCAGTATTGGGCAAAACCCAACATTGGACCCTTTTCTCAGCAGAGGGGATGAGAGATGGAAGAATAAGGACCAGGCTTCTACGTGTCTGTAGGAGTTACAGACTGAGCCACAAGTTTGTGTGTTCTGTCAAAAAGTGTTTGAAAGGGGACTGTTTTGTAGGTTTAGCTTCATTATGTTCACAGCAAGGCTTCTATATATCAATTTTCATAGGCAGATGGGTAATTACATGGAATGGGAACTGGGGGTTGGAGAAACTTTCTGTGAGTTGTACATTCTTTGTATTATTATTATTAATTTATTAATTTTGCAATGGGTGAGACTGCTCTGTGAAAGAAAGTAAGCAGAGGACTGAGGGAAATTTGAGGCTCTTTGGAGATGTACCTCTGTAAGTGAAAGTTTGCATGCAAAACAGCCAAACCCAAGACAGTAAGTTCTTTCTGAGTTCTCTGATAGTACTGTCAAGGCAAATTGTTGCATAAGTCTGGTGATCTTAGATACTACAAATGTTGGGATATAATATATACCCCCGCCATAACTCATTCTTTCCTGAAAGCGTCTGTAAATTCTAGAAACATCAGCTGTTGTCAGGTATTTTGGTAAAACAGGTAGCCACTAGAATTTCCTTTTCCATAGTCATCACCTTGGTTAACTTTACTTCCCTGCCTCATTTAAGAGACTTGAATCAACACTCACTGCATTTATTTTGCTCAGAGTTTCAGTAAAACAATGCTAGTTTTTCTTCAAGCGATGAATTTGTCTTATAAAGTGAAACATTACAGCAGTGCTTTTGTGGCAGAAAAATCTCTTTAAATGAGATGGTCCTTATTTATTTATCTATTTACTTATGACTCGTTGAATGAAGTAGCCAATATAGATATTTTTTAAATGAGCAAACATTTCTTGAGAAAGAAAAACATTTTTTAAAGGGTATTGAGGACAATGAAATTTGCCAGTAATTTTGGATGTCTTTTTGTCCACAGGGACAGAATTTTATGTGAAAGTAGGATCATTCTGTTTCTTATTTCTCTAATATTCTCCCATGCATTTTATCCCCTGAACTCCTAAGACTTTGCCAGGAATTGCTGAACATTCTGTTTTGTGCCAGGGGTTAAACATCAGGGCGGTATGAGTAAGGAGCTGTGTGTCACATCAACGTTTTTCAAAAGGGATGCTCTCAGAGATTTCAATAAATGTTTCCTTTAGCTTCACAGTTAGCTTATCTTAATTCATAGTGCTTTGAACCTAGGAAACACTTAACCTCTTCATTTTTAGTGCCAGCTGGAAGGAATATATTTACTGAGTTTCATCTTCATTGTAACATATGGCATGATATAAATAATTACTACACACACAGTATCCTGCTGTATGGAGAGAAATGGAATTATAAAATAAACCTTCATGTTGAGTGATTTGGAGGTAACATTTCAAAAAACAGCTTTACTTTTTTTCTTGATTACCAGAGTAATATATAACTATTGGGAAAAACTCAGAAAAATATATTAAAAAAAAAAGATCATTTGTAATTCTCCCATGGAAGGTGAACCACAGTTGACATTTCTACATACCATATATTTTTCCAGATTTTATTCTGATCATGTTATTCATTGCATTTTTATACTTCTCTTCCCCAGCCTTCCAAATTTTCGTATCTTGTAAATGGAACTTGGACGTGTTAAAGGTTTGGGAAATTACTGCTAGTTTAGTGGATGGTTTTGATAGATCAGATTTAAATTTTTGTTAGTGGTCCTTATTTTCAAAGGGAGTAGTTTCTGTTTTTCTGTTTTCTTTGAAAAAGGAAGGTTTTCACTTTAGGTTGGAAATACTTAGGGCTCCCCATAAGATTTAGGGATTAAAGCATCAGAAAAGAAAAAGGTTATTGGCTGTGTGTAGGGTTGGGTGTGTGTCTGTGGGGTGGGGGGATACCTGAGTTATGGTTTTAATTTCTCCACCTCATGTGGACTTTGGCCTCTGGGCCTCTGTTTCCTCAAAAGATAAATGAAACTTTGAGATTTAGTTAGTAAACTAACATATTTGTTGTTTTGACATTTGATGATGATGCTAGTTGTTTGAAGTAGACTTTTTCAAACACAGATGGCTGGGGGTCAACCCCAGAGTTTCTGAGGTAATTGGGTCTGGGGTGGGGCCTGAGAATTTACATTTCCAACAAGTCCCTAGATGATGCTGACTCTGATGGTCTGGGGCCGACATCCAGAACTAGATGATGAGCTCCTTGGGGGAAGAATCCCTTTTTCACTTCTCTTGGCATCCATCTGCCTAGTGCCCAGCAACGCACCTGCCAGTAGGACCTCAGTAAGCATCGGTTGAATCAATATTAGTTTTATCCATGGGGAAAAACTTTCTTAAGTAGTCAAGATAAAAAAGATAATCAATCATTCAGAATTTGGAACCATTAAGTCTATAGTAAGAGTAATACTCAGTCATGAAACCCAGTTCTTCAAACTGCAAGGAAAACAAAAGTGCTTACAAGTAGGCAGTTAAGATGAACGCTAAACCTAATGAGTTATCTTAAATAACAGCTCACAGTACCTGCTTGAAATGTTACAAACTGCAAAGCTTATGAATGCTTCACTGTTGCCTTCCTGAGACCTATAAGAGGCAATTCATTTTCTATCACATGTACATTTCCAAAAGGGTGTGTGTGTGTGTGTGTGTGTGTGTGTGTAAATTCACTATTAATTATCCCAACTACCAAAGCAGAAGTCAGGGAAGCAATGGCCTAGACTCCTCCCCACAACCCCATCCAAAAGGTAGAACAATGCTCATTAGAACATCATAAAATGGGGACCTAAGACTCGTAGAAAACATTAACCTGCATAAGTTCACAAACTGATCAGTGGCTGCACCAGAAATCAGACCCAGGCCTGATTTCTGCCTGACGCCTAAGGGTGTTCTTCATTACTTCCCTCTGTGGACACTGAGTGAATGCATTTGGTGGCCAGGAGATTCCAGCTGGCTGAAATACACCAGTTACAGCCTTTGATCATCCTTGCATGGCTACTTTGTGACTAGAAAACTAATCCTTCTACCTAGGTGTTAGAAACATAGGGTGCAGGGCGCCTGGGTGGCTCAGTTGGTTAAGTGACTGCCTTCGGCTCAGGTCATGATCCTGGAGTCCCGGGATCGAGTCCCGCATCGGGCTCCCTGCTCGGCAGGGAGTCTGCTTCTCCCTCTGACCCTCCTCCCTCTCATGCTCTCTGTCTCTCATTCTCTCTCTCTCAAAATAAATAAATAAAATCTTAAAAAAAAAAAAAGAAACATAGGGTGCAGACAACCCCCATTTTTATGGTTGAGACTTAAAAAACATGTAAATATTTGAGTAGAAACAAAGTCGCTGTTCACATAACCAGGCTATCCAAATGGATTGTGGAGACCCGCTGTCTTGGCTTTTGTCAATACTTAGTAAAACCATAAAAGGAAAAAGCCACCTTTAAGTTTTTGCATGGTACAGTTCTCTTATTCAATCCTAGTGTCTGCTCTACCCAGGAAGCTATTTTCTGGCCTGGAGGGACGCACACCTCAAGCAAAGCCCTCTCCAATGAGCGCTGCATTTACCTGCATGAACAGGAGCCAGCGGTGGCCGCCATCGGAAGGACCCAAGGCACCTGTGCTGGGCTCCCTGACACCTGGACAGCCTTGAGCCCAGACAGAGACAAGACATGGGTGGCTCTTAAAGTAACACAGCGGGCAATCGAAAACCCTATTGGTTGTGTTCCTGAACCTCAATTTCCTCATCTGTAAAATAGGAACAACAAAATGCCCCTGGAGTATGAGTGGCTGGGAGGAAAAGAGAAAAAAGGAAAAGCGTAGCGTGCTGCATGGAGGAGGCACGGTGGCGCCAGGAGGTGGACCCTGTCCCACCAATTGCCTATTTTGTAATAATTTTGATTATGAGTTGTTGATCTGCAGCCCTGGGAGTTTCCGGGTATAATCTGAAGCCCAGCTGGGTACGGGAGGGCAAGGAGACCCAGGAAACAGGTCACTCCGGATTGGTAGGTGCAGGTTTAATTGGCAAGGAAATTTACATATGAGCTTTGTCTGAGCTGCTGCAAGCTAAATAGCTCTCCATACTGTATTGCCTGCCAGAATATTTAGGTTTTCATAGC